AAAAGGACTGCAGGCAAACATTCCAGGATTTTGTGCATTAGGAAAGATGAATAAATCAATACGTGGGGCTTACAAAACAAACTAACTAGTTAGCTCCCCCCCTTTTTTTTTTTAAACACAATGTCTCCTAAAAGAACTGATTTGAGCAGAGGCAACTATAAAGACACAGAGACATAATAGGCCATGATTGAGTAATCAACTTACTTGTGATGTTGGAAACAGTATGTTTCATTTGGATATCCAGTTATCACCCAGAATTTTAAAAACAACTAAACTGAGCTGAAAATTGCAGTTGATCCATTTTGGTAGAGACTATTTTATCTTGTGAGCAGTGACACTAGTGCTTTTGGATTCTTGTGCTGTGGTTCTAATTATATAAAGAACTGTCAGGAACATTATTTTCTATGTAGGTGAAGATATTAAAAAGCTGAAGTTCATCACACTATGTCATGGAAATAAATGTATTTGACATTCCAGTGCATACCAGCTCGGACAACGCCCATGCCTACAATATTCAGACCTATCATAAATTCATAAGGATGGGACAGAAGGTTCCGGATGAGTGGATCCTTAAAAAAAGAATTCTCTTGTCTACATCTGACACTGTTCAGGAACCCAAATCATCTGGGAGCAAACTGGATGCATTTTAGTGGAAACTAAAGGCCAAAGAAACAAATGAAGCTCATTTCTCTTCCTCCATGTTCTTCTAGTCCAACTCAGGAGCACTGAGTCCCAAAGTCAATCTCCATCAAGCCATGTAGAGGCAAGCACCCTATTCGTCTATGCTCCTACCTGTTTGTCAACCCTATACCTCACAGAAGAAACATGGGAAGATTCCCTTGGCTGTGGCCCCATCATTTCCTAGTGAATATTTCTGTAATTTTCATTTATAAACCCCATCCACCAGATCCAGTGACTTGCAATTATCCACCATTTATATAAAACACACAAAACAAAATAAAGTTAAGAAAGGAAATAGGCTTTTTTGAAAGATATAAATGTAAACAATATTCATGAAAGTTTTCTCCCCAAACATTGCAACTGATCTCCTCAGACTTTAGGTTTCTTTGATCAGCTATCACTAAACCTCAAATGTTAAATGTTGATGAAGGAAACCTAGAAATAGTCTAGCTAGAAAACTTGAAAATAAAATGGACACATTTTAGAATATAAGTAAAATATGTAGAAATATACTGGGATAGATAAAAATATTAACATACAAAGAATCAGTTGAGAACACTTAATGAGAATATTCTGGAAAGATATTTTGACACCTCTAAGCAAAGATGCCATAATCCCTAATCTCAAGTAATTTCTAACATAAGTCTCTAGACGACTGCAAACAAATGCAATTATTAAGTGACTCAATGGTATACATTTCCAAGTTACAAAAGTTTGAGAAATTCAAAATGTTTAATAGTTCAATGGCAGGGAAGTAGTTTGGGCTAATGTGGAAAAATCATGAAGTTGGAGGAGATCTGACTGAAACTCTAAAGGAAAGGAGGTAAATGTGATGAAAACTAGTAGGTTGGTTGGGAAAAAGAGAAAGTAGGAAAGTGTGAGTGACCAGCAAGGCCTTGGCAAGCGCAAGCTGACATTCTAACCAGACTAACCTCTCTCTGCCCCCGTCCAGACCACGTTTGTGCCAGCCAAGGTGGGTAAGGAGCCTGCGCTCCCCACCCACCAAGCCTGCACACCAGCTTTGCGGTCTGCAGCAACCTGGAGGAGGGGGCACCCTTTTTCTAATTTGCCGGCCCAGGGAAGGCACCATTAAATTTGTCTGTCTGGAGTGGGCTCCGTTTTGTGCCCAACGATCTAGTATGTGAGTTTGAGCATTCATGCACTGTTACAACTGACTTACAATTAGATTCCTCTGTCTCATTTTCTCTCTTTGATTCTGCACTCAATGATTTCATTTTCACATCCTTGAATACCATTTTGCCATTTTGGTGGCTTTCATTGCTCTTATATGAGATCCAGAACTGTACCCAGTCATCACCTAATTAAACCTCCCTCCTTTTATATTAACCCAGAATTCAAAATCTCTGTACCAACCTAGTCATTTGCTTGCAGTCACCCACACACAAGTTCTTCATCCCTCCTTCACCCTCCCCATGCATGTTTTGTGTTACTTCTCGTACTTTGTCTCTTTTCTACGCTCTGATCATCAATTGGAACTTGGTGGTTCAGCTGAGTGGCCTCATTGGGGGCGGAAGATCGGACAAGGACATGAGTAACAATACTGCTTGGCAGTGGCAAACAGAAGTTTGCTCAAAACTAGTCTCCTCCGGAAACTTTCTGAGAGAGCTGATTTCATTTCTTTGATCCACGTTCTTTTTATAATCAGTAAGCTCAGTTGTAACAATAGTAGTCTCAACATCATTTAGTTCATATTAAAAGGCTTCCCAAATTCTTTTGGTGGAAATGAAGATGCTTTTCTCATGACTAAGGACAATCTAGATGACATGTAGGGCCCCAAATAATCTTGGTCACTGTCAGTATATTCACATTTCCCCCTGTTCCTTGCCCCTGTGGTCTAGGCAAGTTTCAAATTCAAAAAAGTCAATCTGGAGCTATTTCAAACTACTTCCCAGGTCCTGAGTGCAAAGGACAGGAGGCAAACATTTTTCACTCAGCAAAGATAGTCAATAGGAAATTCAGGCTCAACCCACGCTTCTGCTACTCAATCCCTCTGTTCAAAATATGTCAAGAACTGGATATAGGGGACATTGGTTGACATTGTGTTATCTTCTGGGTGACCTCTGAGTACCTAGTACTTGTCTGAAGATGAACACAAGCACAGGAAAGAGCCCTGTGTGTGTAGAATATGACAGTCATGAAAATCTCTCTTCTGGATCCTATAAAAGAAGTTGATGGGAGGCAACAAAAGGATGCATAGCAGTTTATAAAATTTGTGTCACAATCACCTCTCTCTTGACAGTTGAAATAAATTAAATCTGCTCCACATCTTTTACCTGTCTCTCTGCTTTAATCCCTACATTGATTTTTGACCAAACAGCCTCAAGACTTGAAATAATCAAATCACATCAGATCAAATGCAAGTGATCTATTTCACAAAGTCCATCTGACTTTTTTATTTTCAATCTTACATTTATTTACTTATATTTATTTTAAAAAGGAATTAAACCAAAACATAAAGTCAACAGCTGGGCATTTTCCATCAATTATAACTTTTTACTAATAAGCCCTGTTGATCTTCTTATAACCTGCCAATTGAATATCAAAAAGCCATTTTGCAAGTGTTTAAAACACATGGACACTAACAATACTCACCATTACATTCAGTCACCCTCATATCGTTTACAGCTTATATTATAGTTTTGTGCAAGAAATTTAGTCATGTCTGGACAAATGAAAGACATTTTTATTAATTAGTAAAAGTTAAATAACTATACCTCCTAAAAAAATTGTTACCTCTATTTTTTTCTATAATTTAAGATGTTTATAATTATTTTTTCAACATATAATGTAAAAGATTTTATTTTCTATTTGTTTGAAAAAGGTTCTTTATGATATTTTTCTGAATAGAAATTTTCCTTGCCTTGGTCTCTGAGAGAAAACTAATGACTTTTTTTTCCCTTGGCCAGGTTTAAAAAACATTTCTCTAATGCAAGGTTTTTGTTTTTGTTTTTAAGGTACAAAATATTTTGTATATACATCTGAAGGAATGGAGTCAACACTTAAAATGAAGAAACTCTGTTAATTTTTCTCCCCCACATATTCCATTACCCCTCTCTTTTATGTCAAGTTCTCAGAACAATTTCGGTCTCGCCCACAACCCACGCTGCCATAAGAGAAGCATAGAAGGCTTGATGGGGTCCAAGGTGATTATGTATGAGAAAGTGCTGTCCTTTGCCAATGTCCTCCTTAGCACACACAGCTGCTGCAGATATGAACCCTGTTGTTCTTCCTTTCCAATGCAGGAATAGACATCGGTCTGCAGTATAATCAGTCTGTAAAGGGACAGCCAAATCCCAAGAAACTTTGGCTCTAGAAGTCTACACACAGGCCAAGGCCCATTGCTGGCTGGAAGCACATGAAAGAATGGGAGAGAGAGACAGAGAGAATGGTGAAAGGAAAGAAGGAAGGAAGGGAGGGAGGAAGGAAGGAAGGACGGAAGGAAGGAAAAAGTTAATACAATTTCTGTCACCAGCAAAAATGGCTTCTTCTGACATGTTCCTCTGCTGTGAGAAAATGTGCCAGAGGCCGACCCTGGAGAGCCTGAGACCACCTCCCTCTCACTCCGACCCCGCCACACACTTCTCTCGAGGCCTCTCTGCACTTGCACTTCAGGAAGTGAGAAGTTACTTTTTCTTACTCTCACGTGGGTTCTGCGGGGCCTGCAGTTTACACGATTAGGGCTTCATTATGACACAGGAAACAAATTACTAATACAAAATTAGTGCTGGTCCTTGGGGGAAGCCTGCTAAGGTTGAAAGGCCCAGAAGGCTAGTCTGTTTCTGCTCCGAGGGCCGAAAACAATGGAAGGAATCAAAGCCCTGAGCTTGCAAAGGAGTAACGTTATCAAACATTTATTAAATTCCATTCAACTCAACACTGACTCAGCAAATACCAATCCAGCACCATTTTATTATTGCTGAGGATATACGAGGATTATAAAACTTAGTCACCACCATCACGACGCTGCACTGTGGTTGAAAACAAATAGAAGTTATCCAGCTGAAACTCGCAGGCTGTTAATACCATGTATTTTTTTAGGCTTACCACTTACTTTTTTAATTTCAGGAATGTGGCAGATCAAGAAACTGGAAAGATTTATAATTGCTAAATCTATGATTGATGGATTAGCAAGATAAAGAAAAACCAAATCCTAGCATTCAATGACGGACAACTTACCCAAGCTCCAATGTTAAAAAATATTTTGAACAATAGAGTCATGAAAAAAGACAACAGAAACCAATCCACCGTGGTTGGCCTTTTCCATTTTTAACCTTGGAAGACATCCATGACGTACTCACCATCAGTTACAGTCAACCTCATTGCGAACATTTCAGGGGTTTCGTTGTCCCCTGCATGGGCCTTGAAACAGCAGCGGTAAAGTCCTGAGTCAGAGGCCATAACGTGGGGCATGATGATGAAGGTGCTTCTCATGCCCTGATTACAGTCACTGAGTATCTGTCTTTGGTACTTTGAAGTATAACTTTTCCCTTGGGACAAGTTGCAGCTAGTCAAGAGGTCGATCTGATGGGGCTGGATCTTTTCCCACATAACCTGGTGTATTGGCCACTTCTGTGGTAGCTGACAGGTAAGCGTGACATTTTTACCAGGTTCTGAGACGATGTGGCTATTTGATGGCACAGCGATCTCAAAATTATCTGAAAACAAGAAGCAAATGATTACACATAGGTCCTCAAATTTGGGGGTGCAAAGGTAGGAGCTACCCAGAAAGTTCTATCAAAAGTTCTGGTGATGTTATTTAACACAATTTCATCAACTGTAATTGATATCTTCATGACACATTTTTGTAAGGAAAAGACCTTTGAAAGAGGCGAGTAAATAAATAGAAGAGAGGATATAGTTGTTCGCACCTATTCTCTTAAGTTTTTCATGGTTAACCATATAACAAGAAGTGTAATCAAAACCCCTGGTGCTTTTCTTGGTAATGATCTTATCAAGAGGCTGAATTTCACAAGACTATTCTGTAGTAATACTGGGCTGGTGACTCAAAGATTGTATCCAGATCGTAATCACTGATTTTAATGGTCATTGAAGAGATAACAATCATTTTCATTTGAATAAATACCTACATAAACTTATCTTTCAGATATACAGGTTGTTTTAGGCATACATAGAGTAGGGGTCCACATGTGATTTAAATCCCTATGTACCAAGAAAGTTCTTCAATATTTTCCCACTTTCCTACCACCAAAGTTAAGATACCCAGCACAGAGCACTCAGTAAATAAGCACCAGATAGTTCTGGGCCCCTTTCTTGACTTCCAATTGAAAAAGAAAAGAAAAGAAAAGAAGAGTAGAGGGGACAGGAGAGGAGAGTAGACACCACACTTGAGAGAAGAAGAAATTGAGTCTAAAACACAGTAAGGTATTTGCTGTCTATATTAAACTAGAATACTGTGTCTACAATAGTTTCATCTCCACCAAAAACTAGCTTCTTTTCTTCAACAAGTGGTTCCATTGGTCAAAATGTTGTTGAAAAGAGAAAACCACAGCACTCCAGTTTTTCAATTTGTAATCGTATAACTATTTATCAAATTAACACTTAATCCACATAACAGGCACACAGGAAGCATTTTATCTCTAAATAAAAAGACAACGGAAGAACAGGGGAATAAAAAAGAAGGAAAGGGAGAAAATTCGTAAGACATGGAAAAATAAGAAAATGAAAGTCTAAAGAAAACAAAGGAGAAACTAAAATAAAATTAAGACAGTGAAAAGAAGATACGAGAAAAGAGAAAAAAAATGAGAGACAATATAAATAAAAGGCTAAATCAGATACACATGCACTGTACTGGGAAAATATAAGGAAATAAAAGAAAGGGAAAAAAGACAAAGAAACAAATGTCTGTGTGAGCCATGCTTGACCCTCAGAAATTGGCGGTAAGCTAGCCCTGTCCGTCCTGAAGTTTGTCTTCAGTGCTGCACACCTGCTGTTCTGTTGTCTTCCTCTGTAGGGCCGCCCTCCCCCCATCTCAGGAGCTTGATGTGCCCATGTAACAAAAACCTGCTCTCAGGAAGCAATGCTGTGTGATGCTGGCTCATGTATAAAGGGGGATCTTCTCTTAGGAGTGTCTGCATTGGTTCCAAGGACAAATGCACAAAGCAGTGAAGGCAGTCTCCAATGCTGAATAGCCAGGCATCAGGGTCTCGGGTGGAGCTGTCCTCCAGGGAGCCGGGGAGGTTCACCAGCCCAGACTTTATGTAAGGACCCAGATCCACCTGTCAGTAGACACAGACGGAACTGAAAGAAGCAGGCCCCCGCTCAGAGGCAGGTGGTTCTGAGGCACAGAGCAGCCCCCAATTAACCTTCCCAGATGAACAGAATAGCTGGCTGGTGTCAGATGAAAACCGAGACCCAGAGGAGGTCTGCAGAGCCTGCCTGGCCTCTTGTGTTGCTTGCTGTCTGCTCATGTCACCTGATCCTCCTGCACAGCCCATGTAAGGTGACAGGAAATGTGTCTGAAAAACCCCACACACAAGAGACCCTGGCATCCTGACATGCTTGGAATTGGAAAGCACATCTACTTAAAATAGGGATCAAAATGTTGTAGTTGATAGGGAAGAAAAAGTTTGATTAGAACCTTAAAAATAGAAACAAAAATAATAAACACCAGTTAATTTTATATTTCTATTTAGTGATGTATTAATTCTCAGCATAAACATAGAATAGACTGTGTTTTGTTTTGTTTAAAAGACTGTTTTTTAAAGCAGTCTTATGTTTACAACAAAACTGAGAGGGAGGTACAGAGATTTCCCACATACTTCCTCCCTCCCCCCACACAGAGCCTCCCCATTATGGACATCCCCCATCAGGATGATACATTTTATACCAAGTAGGAACCTATATTGTCACATTATAATCACCCAAAGTCCAGAGTTTATATTAGAGTTCATGTCTGGTGTTATACATTGCATGAGTTTGGACAAATGTACAAGGACACATATCCACCATGATGTCATATGGAGTATTTTTGCTGCTCTAAAAATCCTCTGTGCTCTGCCTATTCTTCCCCCTGACCCCGCCTCAACCCTTGGCAACCACTGATCCTCTTACTCCTCCATACTTCTGCCTTTCCCAGAATGTCAGATAGTTGGAATCATATGGCAAATAGCCTTTCAGATTGGGTTCTTGCACTTGGTAAGGAGCATTTAAGGTTCCTCTATGTATTTTCGTGGTTTGATAGCTCATTTCTTTTTAGTGTTGAATAATATTCCATTGTCTGGATGGTGCGCAGTTTATTTATCCATTCACCTACTGAAAGACATCTTAGTTGCTCCCAAAACAATTGGCAATTATGAGTAAAGCTTCTGCAAACAACCACATGCAGGATTTTGTGTGGACACAAATTTTTAATTCCTTTGGGCATATATCAAGAAGCATGATTGCTGGATTGTATGGTAAGAGTATATTTAATTGTGCAAGAAACTGACAAACTGCCTTCCATAGTGGCTACCCCGTTTTCCATGCCCACAAGCAATGAATGAGGCTTTGTGTTACTTCCGTCCTCATCAGCACTGGGTGTTCTCAATGTGCAGGATTTTGTCTGTTCTAATAAATTTGTCTGTGTGTTGTTTTTACATGATTTTATTACAGAATAATATGATGAAATTCTCTGTACTTTGTATATGATTTTTCTGACAAGATAACAGATCATTTTAAAAAATTATCTCAGGGCTTCATCAGCTTTCCCAAGCACCACTCAATCCCTGGGGACCCCCAAACATTCCTGGGTACAGCTGTGCATCATGCCACCGCCCTGGGCCGCCATCACGTCTCCAGCTGTGAACCTGTCCTCCTTCACCCTTCTCACCAGCAGTGGCTCTGCGTGCAGTGTGAACAGCCCTGTGTCATCACTCATCAACTTCACAGAACCCTGAGTCCATTTACTAGAAGCTTCATAGGCCCAGGCCTCTGTATAGACCTTTACATATCACTCTATACTTAGGACCTAGAGCAGTGTTTGGCATAGAGCAGAGAAGTCAAGAGATCATTTTTGAATAAAAAATGTATTTGTAATTTCACTTTGCAGTCAATGTGTGTACCCACTGATCTGGGGCAGGGGGATATTTACATCCACAAAACCTCTCATACTGAGAAATGTGTTTGAAATCATATGTGTAATGCCTAAAGGAATTAATTGTTCCAGGCAATGATCATCAATGTCTGCAAATTCACAAAAAAAGCCCATTCATGTCTCCACAATGCCACCCTGAGAATAGTAGCCTTGCCAAAATAATCCAGTCTGACCCGGCTCAAGCCTCTAAATCTAACCTACCAATTTACAGAACTCCAAAGAGCAGAGAAACATGTCCAGTGAACCCCGGGCAAACAATCCCTGGGAATACAAAAACACAGAACTCCTCAGCTCCAAACAGGATGTCTCCCATCCCTGAAAACCAATTTTGGACCCTGTGGTGCTTGCTGACTCATCCACCTTTCTTGTCTATTCATTCAAAATCCTGGGAGGAATCCACTGCTCCCGACTCTGCCTCATTTCTCACGTGTGCTTCAAGGCACCAAGGAACCACTCCTACCATTCTCCAACACGGCAAGTCATGCATGTTCTTGACCTTGAGTACTGGATGCTACTCTGTCCTGGAAACCTCTGGCCTTCTGTGACCCTGCATGTCCCTGCCTGTCCTCTTTCCTTTCTGACCTTCCTCCACAGTCTTACTCAGGGGTCCTTCTGCCTCCGCTGGTCTTTTAAAATGTTGTTGTCTCCTCCCACTCCTCCCTCGGGGTTCCAATGCCCATCCCCCTCCGCTCACCATCCCTGGGTAATCCCTCCTACCTGCAATTTCCAAACATCTCCTACGTGCGGATGTCCAAATCCACCAGCCCTGCTCACTCAGACCTCTCCCCAGGGTTTCCAAAACACAAGACAATAACTTGCTCTTATGATGTTTAAAATAGGCTAAAAATTAAACAGCGAGAATGGCCCTAAGCTCTCTGCAGGAGCACTACTATTACTCCAGTTAATTAGAAGTGATAATAGTAGCTTCACACATTCCCACTGTGCCTAGACTATGTATGTGCTCGAGAGAGAGCTTTCCTAAAAGCTCTTAAAGTGTCCCATTTAAATGCAAAATAAAATGTTGATTGCATTATGACTAAGGAAGTATTTAAAGTGATCTGAGGTAAAGATCTCAAAAATAAGCAAGCACTTGCTAAGAGATTACATCCTCAGAGTTCTCATCAAAGAAAAAATAAAATTTCGTAACCACGTATGGGTGACAGTTGTTAACTAGATTTATTGAGGTCATCACTTCTCAATATACTTATCAAGTCATTATGTTGTACCCCTGAAACTGATATCATGTTATATTTTACCCCCAGGGCAGTGCACCCCGTAAGCTGTGCCCGACACACTCCTGATCACCCTGTAAACGCCAGGTGCTGCAAGCACTTCAAAGGCAGAAGGCAATGAAAGTAGTGGGCATGGCATTTCTCTAAAAAGCTGGAATGTTCCCAGAGGATGCTTCGGCGGGGGGTTATGGGTTGAACTGTGTCCCCCCAAAATTCACATATTGCAGTCCTAACCCCTAGCACCTCAGCATGTGACCTTATCTGGAAGGAGGGTCATTGCAGAGATCATCAGTTAAGATGAGGTCACCCAGAGTGGGGCGGCCCCCAACCC